AGCTGCTGCTATGCTCACTGGATAACAGGACTTCAATGAATTATTTTTGTTTCTCAATTATCTTTGATAACTTTATGCTTAGTTTTTTTTTTCAACAAGTCTGCCTTCCCACCGAGGTAGGGTGACCCAAAAAAGAAAGAAAATCTCCAAAAAGAAAATACTTTCATCATCATTCAACACTTTCACCTCATCACACAATCACTGTTTTTGCAGAGGTTGCTCAGAACACAACAGTTTGTAAGCAATACGAAATAAAGATACACAACATATCCCCCCCAAACTGCTAATATCCCGAAACCTCCATTTAGAGTGTGGGCATTGTACTTCCAATTCCAGGACTCAAGTCCGGCTATATAAAAATAACCGGTTTCCCTGAATCCCTTCACTAAATATTACCTGCTCACACTCCAACAGATCGTAAGGTCCAAATACCATTCATCTCCATTCACTCTATCAAACACGCTCATGCATGCCTGCTGGAAGTCCAAGCCCTTGTCCACAAAACCTCCTTACCCCTTCCTTCCAACCTTTTCGAGGACGACCCCTACCCCGCCTTCCTTCTCCTACAGATTTAAATGCTCTCCATGTCATTCTACTTTGATCATTCTCTCTAAATGACCAAACCACCTCAAACAACCCCTCTTCAGCCCTCTGACTAATACTTTTATTAACTCCACACCTTCTCCTAATTTATGCTTAGAAACGAAACATGTGACAATCATGTTTCTGATCTTGAAAGGGTTACTATTTAGTAATTACCAGTATAATTCACTTATATTCCCTGGGAAGTGCTAACTTAAAAGGGGGCACATATAAAAGCCTAAGGAATGAGATTATTGTTCAAAGCTCAAGGACACTTAAAGTACAACACCTGAGTGTCTTAACCTTTGACTGTCGGGGGTTGTATATATACGTCTCACGAGGTACCGTGTTTGAAGTTTTTTTTTTTTTTTTCAACAAGTCGGCCGTTCCCACCGAGGCAGGGCGACGTATAAAATACTCATAAATTCTAGCGGCTTCAAATCAAACAGGAGAAAGCTGGGGGCCCACATGTGAGAGAATGGGTCTGTGTGGGCATTGTGCCCATATAAAAAAAAAACCTGGAGCATGCAGTGCATAATGAGAAAAAAAAAACTCGGCCGTTTTTTTTAATTAAATGCCAACTTTGTGTCTATTTTCGTATAGTATTTAATGGTTGTATTCTCATTTTCTTGGTCTCATTTGATTTGAATGGCAAACATATTATAGAAATAGAGTGATTTTTTATTGATTTTTTCTATAAAAAGAACCTGAAATGGACCTCAAAGTAGGGGAAATGTTGATTTTTGCCGATGTTCAAAAGTAAACAAATATGTCATTGCCCAATAAATGCCCAACAGCCATTCTAATATGCAGTCATGAATGGGTTGATGTTATTTATACAATTATTACAATATTGCAGTAGTCTGCATAACAGTAAATCTTCTAATTTTGTTTGAATAAAAATTCAAAATAGAAAGCAAGAGTAATATCAAGGGGACTGGAGACATGACTGATGAACAAAGAAAATGTTATTTTAGAGCCAGGAATGTCTGCATTGTTCATTCTGGACCTTATTTTGAAATTGTCATATTTTTTAATTTTCATAAAATTGGCCAAATTGCAAATTTCTGACCACGTTATTGGGTAGTTGAAATTGGTAAATGGGCAGTTTCTTGTACTCAATCGATAGAAAAAATGGAGTTCTAAAGAAATAGCTATGAGTTTGGTCGACTGGAACAATGGAATTAGCCGAAAATTAGGGCTCAAAAGTGCAAGAAATAGCTGATTTGTAAATAGCGCCGAGGTCGCTAACTTCGCGAGAGCGTAATTCCGTCAGTTTTCCATCTAATTTTGTGTTTTTGGTGTCATTACAATCGAGAAAAGATTCTCTTATCATTTCATAAGAATTTTTTTTTTTTTTTAAATTTACGACACCAGGAGACACTTCGGATTGGGGGTTGTGACAGTCAAGGGGATAATATGAAGACATTTTACCAACCAGCAACTTTTTTAATTCAATATAGAGGTTACAGACTGGAGACAATGGAATATGAGGTAATCAGTCACTTAGCCTTAATAGGTGTTCAATCCCTTAGGTTGGATCAATCTGATTGAGACTAAAAAACTGAATAGCTATGAGGACTGATTACCTCATCTTCCATTATCTCCTGTACAAAATCTTTGTAATGAACTGAAAAAGCTACTGTTGGCAAAATGTCTTCATAATAAAGATAAACCATGTGTTGCACATGTATCTTACTCATCAGCTTCTCAGTACATATGCCATTAATGTAATGAAATTATCTACAGAATGAGATTAAAAAGGTTTGATCAAAGGAAAGGCAGAGTACCTTAAATATTCTGAACAGAGTCCTTCACTAGCATCAAGCCAAGAGAGGAGCTTTTTCATAAAAAATAACTAGGTGCTAAAATGACAAGGAACAGATATAAATCTTAAACCTGTTTTTGTATGGAAAACTTGTCTTAAGTGCCACACACTACAAGGAATTGTAGTATGTGTAGCTTGGTGTGTGTAAATATCAATACTTTTTAAACCTTAGCCTTCCTTGACTTCTCTTCATTTTATTCCAAGGAACAGAAATTACCCTCCTATTCCTTAAATGAAACCCAATGACTTCCCATAACCCAGGTACTGTATGACCCCTAAGGGTTTAATGCCTCCTCATAAATGTAATAATATAAAATTTATACATGTATACACAAAATTTTTTAGAAGGATTTCACTATTGCGATACACAGAATCTGAAACTAATAACTAATAAAATTAATGTTTTCTCATAAAAATTCATAAGCTGTGAGAGAAATAACATAATGAACACATGAAAGCTTTAGAAAGGTTTACCTTTCTTAATAAAGCAAAGGTTTTTTACAGGTTACTGCATCAAAGAGGTTTAACTATTATATTAGTGAGAACAGTAGCTGTTTGCTTTCACTGAAAGAAACAATTATAAAAATACTGAAAATTTTAATAATGTGTACTTAAAAGAAAAATATGACAGGCAAATGATGTTCCTTAAAGAAAACAATAACTGCAATTTTGTACAAACATAAAAAATGGTAATAAAACTAACAATTTAACCCTTAAAGTGTCCAAACGTAGATCTACGTTTTTTCATATTTGAAAGTATGTAAAAAAATGTAGAGCTTTTTCTTTTTTTTTACATTTGAAAATGGTGTAAAAAAACTATCTATGTTTTTTTTTTGTTATATTTGAAAATATGTAAAAAAAAACGTAGATCTACTTTTGGAAGCCCTACGCATGTGAATGTAGATTGTTTGGACAGTTAAGGGTTAATATTACTATATAGTAATCCCTTCAAGGAGCTGAGTGATACTGTTGAAGGGCTCCTGATTCAAAGAACTGAAGTTGCCTTCCCATTCCTTGGATCAAACCTGATTACCCCCCACCCGTTTCATCCTCCGAGCTTATATGTCCTTAGGAGTTTAGCACTTCCTGCTGAATATGATATAGGGTGGTGCATGGTTGACCAGATCACATGGACAACTACTTGTAAGTCCAAAGACAATACACTAAAGTATTTAAATAGCCTTACTAATACAAAGAACACATTATAAGTGTAAAACAGCAACAACACTTTAGTACATGAAGAGTATGAATTGGTATCACTTGAAGGAAGAATTTAGTATAATGTGAAGGAAATATGCCAGTCCCTGGTATGATTTCTTGCCACTTGAAACATTTCTCCTTAGTAATGTACACTCAACTCTCCTAAACTAAGAGATACTCTACTTGAAAAGAGAAAGCTATACAATGTAAAGCCTATTCAGAGAACATCTATTGCTTGATTCATGTGTACATTTTACACACAAGAAGGTATTACTGTATCACATTAATTAACGTACCACTGCTAACTTCCACATTCATGCATTTATTGCAGGTGGAACAGCCATATAATACCTGTTCCTCAAACACGACAACTGAACATTCATTGCCACCAAGGAAAATGGTGAATATAGTTATAAAACTTATTAAGACAGGCTACACAAAATAACCCGCACATAGAAGAGAGGAGCTTACGACGCGTTTTGGTCTGACTTGGACCATTGACAAAGTCAAAGTCAAAGTTGGACCGAAACGTCGTCGTAAGCTCCTCTCTTCTATGTGTAGGTTATTTGTGTATCGTTCCAGTCACAGTATTGTGCCTTGTTTTGTTATTTAAGACAGGTTAGGTAAATTAAGGTATAGGTCACCAACTTAAAATAATTGCATTCATGTTTTCTAACTCACTGATGAATGACATTCTTGGGTTTACAAAAAATAAATTATTTGCACAGCAAACAATAGTAAAAAGGATATTTATGCTTCACATATATTCCTATTATGGCTTAGCAATTGTAAGCTTTATTTGGTCCTTAATGCTGATGTTTTAACTTGCTGTTTGCCACTGGTGCCCTCTCGTATTTTATGTCACTTTTTACCAAGGTTAGGTTAGATTGCTATGTTAGTTTTGGTGAAAAATAAAAAAGTGACATTAAAATCTGCACAATTATATTTCACCATTTTTTTCTGGTGGGATAAATCTTGAGGTGATCCCTCCAAAAATTACTAATAGAACTGCCATTTAAAAATACACATTTTGATATGACAAATGTACGTTTCACAGCAGCGATATTTTCACTGCATATGCATATTCGTTCATAAAACTATATTTTCTGAGTACAACTTTTATATTTATGAGTTTAGAAAGCTACTAGCTGTACCACAACAAAAGATACTCATCAATGGTATATAGTATTTTCATTATAAAAACACAGTATATTGAATGATCATAAAAAAATAATATTTTGAAAGTGACAAAGCTTCACATATAAATGAGTTTATATGATACACGGATTTTGTAGAAATATCAACACATAACTAACAGCACTTATTTAATTTCAACAACCATATAAAAAAAATATTGTTTAAGACGCAATAAGAGGTCTAGATTTAGAATACCCAAAAAATGGCAAGTAGATGACAAATTAGGAATGCAAAACACTCATAACAAATGAGCCTTTTATTGGACTGTTTTGCTTTAAGCAGAGCTTTATCGAACCTATAAAATAAAGCTCTGACAAAAATTCACAAGTCTTAAGAAAACTGAATACTGTATCAAATTTCTGGAAGGTTGTTTTGATAAGATAAAGACTTATACAGGCTAGTACGTCATCCAATAAAAGGTCGGACTCTATTATGTGTGCTTTACATCATTAAGTTCAGAATAAATGTATAGAAAAATAAAGTGAGCACTTAAAAGCTAATATTATTGATCAGCACCATCTTCTTACATACATACTTCTCCATTCCCCAAGCATTCCAATTTCATCCTTAAGTCCCTTCAAGGGTGCCTTGATGTGGGCAAAAGGCTCATGATCCAAAGAATTGGAGCTGCCCTCACCTTGCTTGGATCAAGTCTGATTATCAACCATTCCCCAGACACAGTATAACCATTACCAGTTTAGGACTTGCCTATTAACATGCAGTTCAGTATTGAGTATGTAGAGTACTGTAACCAGGTAAACTAGTCCTATTTTGTCCAAACACAAAACTGACTACAAAGACAAAATCTTTTTCCAAACCTTGTATGCCTATTATATTTAGTGAAATTTTATTTGTAAAGGGTGGCTATACTACAGTACTTAACCTTCCAGTGTATGACCCCTACTGGTTTAGTGCTTCACCATAAATATATAACTAATAGATTCTTACCTTCAGAAATGTGCCGTATTCATTTGTTGACATAACTTTGATTCTGATTAGACCTGAGCCTCTCTATCAAGCAACAGAATAATCCTGTCAAAATAAAATCGACAGATTGAAGAGCAGCTAGGTTATTGTTCATATCACAGGCGTGCCACATACATGATCTTACTTGCAACTATTGTCCATGGAAAAAAACAATAATATTATTATTAATAACAACATATCTATAATTTACAACTCTCAGTCACTCTCAAGGTTAAGAGAGATTGGCAGGGTGAAGAAAACCACAATGGTTATTATGGCACATGATAGTGCAAACATGGTATGTGGAGGCTTGAATCTCACCACCATTTGAGCTAAATGTTCCACACATGTTCTGAACTTCAAAATGACAGAAGGAAGGTACCTAAGGATTGGCAGAGAACATGCATAGTTCCTCTGTTTACATGAAAAAAAGACAAGAGAGAAAGAATTATAGAGGAATAAGCATATTAGGTTTTCTTATTTTTAGTAATCTATATGGGAGAAGGGGGTTACTTGCCCATTGCTCCCGGCATTTTAGTTGGCTTTTACAACACACATGGCTTACAGAGAAAAGATTCTTATTTCATCATAGAATTGATGAAGGGAAAAAGGTGGGTGGTGCACTGAGTTATCTGTGAAGACAAAGAATGTTATCCATGGAAGTAAAGAAGGGAATGTATGAGAGTAAAAATGGTACCAAATACTTTTTATGTGGGTGTGAAGCATGGGTTGTGAATGTTGCACAATGAGGAGGCTGGAGTCAATGGAGATGTTGTGTCTAACTGCAACATGTGGTGTAAATATTATGCAGGGGAATTCGTAGTGTGGAAATTTGGAGGTGTCGAGTTTACTAAAAGTATTATTCAGAGGGATGAGGAGGGTGTTTCAGGTGGTTTAGTCATTTAGAGAGAACGGAGCAAAATGGGATTAACCTGGAGGGTGTATAAATCTGTAGTGGAGGAAGGTGGGGTAGGGGTCATCCTAGGAAAGGATGGAGGGTGGGGAGTATAGGTGGTTTTGTGAGCAAGGGGATTCGACATACAGCAGGTATGTGTAAGCATGTTAGATAGGAGTGAAGACAAATGATTTTTGGGACTTGATGAGCTGTTGGAGTGTGAGCAGATTAATATTTTGTGAAAGGATTCAGAGAAACTGATTAACCCTTTCAGGGTCCGTCCCGTAGATCTACGGCTTTACATTCAGGGTCCAAACCGTAGATCTACGCCATGAGCTCAGCTCACTCTGATAAACTGTGAGTGGTACATTTGGGCCTAGATATGAGAGAATACATCTATGTGGTATGTGTGCACCACATAAAACAGATCCTGCAGCACACTGTGTATAATGAGAGAAAAAAAATGAAATCATGATTTTTCGATTAAAACAGCAACTTTGCAGTGTTTTTTCGTATGTTTTTTATATTTGTATTTGCGATTTCTTGGTCTCATTTGATAGAATGGAAGACATATTACAGAAATAAAGATGATTTTGATTGGTTTTAGCACTGGAAATGGCTTGAAACTGAGCTCAAAGTAGCAGAAATGTTAAATTTTTGCCGATATTCAAGAGTAAACAAACGACCTCACACATCTAATACACGTCAGCTGGTGGGTCTAATATACATTCACAAATATGGTGATGATATTTATACAATTATTACAATATTGCATAACAGTATTATTATTATTATAATCAAAAAGAAGCGCTAAGCCACAAGGGCTATACAGCGCTGCAGGGTAGGGAAGGAAGCAAGGGAATTGGATGGCAGAAGGGAGGGGGGATGATCAGCAGGTTACAGAAAACAGCGGGGCAGGGGATAGTACGGGGGTAGAGGGTAGCAAGAGATACAAGTAGAAAGGGCTGAAAGTATCAAAATTTGTGGAGTAAGTCAGTCGTTGTCAAAAAGTCAATGAGAGATCCGGAGAAAAAAGGGGGTCCATCAGCGGAAGGGGAAAGGGAAAAAGAGGAGCGGGGCGAGACGAGACAGAGGTAAATTCTGGTGCTCGTTGATCAGAGGAGAGAGAAAGAGCGGAAGAGTGGATCGTGTCCATTGAAGTTTGGGTCTCTGCCAATATATTCAGAGATTGCTTCAAGTGTTTCAGAATTCAGAGATTGTCGTATGGAGACAATATTGGGAATGGAGGGGGAGGAATGAGTAAAGATTGGTACTTATTGGACTGTACCAAGTAGGGGGGCGAAAGGGTGAGGGCACTAGGAGAAGCGTGGCAGGGGACAGAAGAGTCCGAACCTGGAGGTGGGCAGAAGAGGAAAAACTTGGAGGACAGGGGGAGGAAGTACATTACGTGAGGAGGGTGAACCTCTGCACTTTGTAACTGAGCCAGTGGAGAGGGGAAGAACTAGGGACAGAGACAGGGAGGGTAAAATGAGAGGTGGAAGATGGGTAGGAGGTGTTACCGGACCTTTTTTGACTTTTGAGAAGTAGAGACGATTGGAAGAGGTGGCGGTACGAGGTCTCGTCGATACTGAGGCTTGTAAGAGAGAACTCGAAGAAAGCGAGATTAGAGACTGAGGCGTTGAAGTAGGGACGGCGAGCCGAGGACAGCAAAGGATTAGATACAGGAGTGATTAGGGGAGAGGTAACCACAGCAGGTGGTGTAGATGATGGGATACCAAAAAGTGGGGGACGTTTTTGAAACACGGGAATAAGAAACACTTGGAGTCTCCCTTGGAGGCGGAGATGATGAAACTGGCCATGTCATAAGGGAGACCTTCATGTCTCATTGAGTAACGGATTTACCTCTCGTTTAATAGACCTGACAACGCGAGAGTACAAGGGTGAGCCTTCAGATAGTTAAGGCAAGAGGGAGATCGATTGCAAACGATTAGAATGGTCATCGGCACACAGACTGGCATTCGGCGATAGATCTGCAAATATATCGCTGATGCCAAATCGCCAGCAAATTTTCACACAGTAGTGGTAGGGATCACCTTCGAACTTGTAACCGATGACCTGCTATATAAACTGAGGATGGGAGTTTCTCGGGCTGTCAAAAGTTAAACGAGCCACATTGCTAGGTATCGTCTCCGCCACGGGCAGGAAGACCGTAAGTGGTCTACCTGAGGATTGGATATCTTGGAGATCCAGCTTGTTCTAAATGTCGGTGCCCACATGTCTGGATAATTTTGTTGAACTATGGTAAAGGGCAGAATAACGTACCACTACAAGAATTGAGGAATGATGTTTTTCAAGGGTGACAGGAACAGTATCTATTGGAAAGACGAGAGAGCTCACGAGCCGGGTAGCATCTGTACGGTAATGATGCGCGTACCGCCTTAAGAGCATGAAAAAAAATATCTTTACCACATGGCGAGGATGCCTTGCAATACATGGTCAGAAAGATAGGCAGTAGAGAAGTTGGGTCGTAAAGTGAAGAATTTAGTCCACTGTTCATCTGAAACTGAGCGGAAAGGTATGAAAGGAACGTGTCGAACTTTTCTGAGAAGAACGAGAAGGTGAATGTGGAGAAGTATCATCATCAGGTAATTGTCTTGACGTTTAGGCGTGGGACCCAAGTTGTCCTACGTGAACGGGTCCTGGCGATTTGAAAATTGGCCGGCACCGGTAGAGGGAGAGGCCGGAAGCAAGTCCTGAGGGGAGCGAAGGTTCTGAATAAATCAAGGAGTCCAGTCGAGGCTCAGTACCTGAAGCAGGTGAGGAAACAGCACCGGCAATAGTTACAGATGCATGAGGAATGTCTGAAGAGTGGTCCAAAGACGAGCGGGGTCAAACGGGGTGCGGTATCAAGAAGGGGCCTCCAGGGGTTTAAAAAAAAAACCAGGTTCATGGACTAGGGCTGCCATGGTTAAGGTTACTGCTGTCTTTCTTTTTAGTTTTTAAGAAAAAAAAAGAAGAAGAAAAGAAAATAAAAATAAAAAAAAGAAAAAAAAAGGGGGAACCGGGGGAGGGATAGTTCCTAGGAGGAATAAAGGCCATAACACTCCCTCCGCGCCCAAGAGACTCGACACGCTAGTAGCGCAGAGGCAGCATTGGAACCCGTTGCCAACCCTACCTTCATGTCGCTAAACCAGCAATCCTGGGATAGCAACCTCACATCTGCCGAGCATACCCTCGGTGGACAAAAGAGAGGGCGGCCGGATATCCGCCACAAAAGCATCACTCCTTCAGCCACCACCCCCGGAATCCGAAAGGTGCTTCCAGAGATACACCCGTCGCCCAAAAACCACACCCAAAGCGACGCCGGATACCGAGAGGGATCGGCATCCCTAGGCAATACTCCCAGATTCCACGCAAACTACGCACCGCCAGAAACCTCAACAAGGATCGGCCCCCTGTGATGTCCCATTCCTCTACCTAGGAACTAGCGTGCCTGTGGAGAAATCCCAAAGACAAAAAAGGAAGGGCAAAAGGAGGAGAGGGAGTAGGAGGAGGAAAGGAAAAAGAGGAGGATGGGGAGGAATGGATTGGGGAGGGGAGATTGGGGGTAATTAAGTTCGGTCTGAGGACGATCCCAGCTACCAAATTCTTAGCTATTCACGATATTACTTCTATTCTAAGTGATTGACAGCAAGAAATCCGCCGAGTCAAATGTTTCCAACTACAAATTAAAGAGATGGAAATTGTAAATTTGGCCAATTTAACACAAAGTTCAAAATCGGGTCAGAATAAACAATGTAGGTATTCCCTGGAACTAACTAACATTTCCTCTGTTCATTAGTTATGTTTTGAGCTTTACAAATAAATTCCCTTTATTTTTATCCACATAATGAATTTTTATTCACACCAAAAAAAAAATAGAAGATTTACTGTTATGCAAACTGTAATAATTGTATAAATATCATCACCAAATTTGTGAATGCATATTAGAACCACCAACTGGCGTGTAGTAGACGTGTGAGGGTCGTTTTGTTTACTCTTGAATATCGCAAAAATTTAACATTTCTGCTACTTTGAGCTCCAGTTTTCAAGCCATTTCCATGCTTAAAACCAATCAAAATCATCTCTATTTCTGTAATATGTTCTTCCATTCTATCAAATGAGACCAAAAATCACAAATACAACTATAAAAAACATACGAAAAAACAAC